AGGGTGCTGTCATTGCCCAAGGAACACCCAAATACTGTATGCTCACACTCCTCACATTCTTCAGGTTCCCCAGACCAACAGGTAACCTATGCTCACACTCCTCACATTCTTCAGGGAGGCTCCTTTCAGGTTCCCCAGACCAACAGGTAACCTAAGCACAGGAATTCTTTAAGCTTTAAAAATCAGAGCCATATAAAGGCCATGTTCTACAAAATCTTTGATGTTCTAATTCAGCTGCTCTAGTCTTGTACATAAACATTGCCCTTGCCTTATTATTTGGTTTTCAAAGTGTTCATGTTCAAGAAAGTAGTTATTGGTTCACCAGTTAAAGATCAAGCCCATGCCTAGATTTCACCAGGAGAAAAATGCAACTAAGTGATGTAATCTGAATTAAAGGAAAATAAACTGGATTGTAGCTTTTGAGCAAATTGTATGTAGAGATCTGTGACTATATCAGCACTCACAAAATAAGAGCGAGTTCTGCCTGTGCTCATAAGTTACCAAGTTTGGAGAAAAAGAAATTCAGGGAAGCATTAAAAATTCCTAAATGTTTTAACACTGAGATATAAGAGAGACTTTTGCTCAAATGTGAAACTTAATTGTTGGAGCTGTCTTACTTGTTTTAATTTTCACTGCTGGAAAGTCAATAATAATTAATAAAATTTTGTTAGAAGAATTCTTATCTGTTACCCTCGCCTAAGAGAGAAAAGCCTTAGTTTATTTTATGCAGCACTTGTTGTCACATTCTCTAACCCTTAAATAAAGTCTTAACTGATGACCTCTTGTGGAAATGGACATAATTTGCTTCAGAGGCTATTGATATCATTCTCCTCGAAGAACTGTCAATGAGGAAGGAACAAAGGTCATATTACTATACAAGACTGTTGGCAAGGTGAAGAAAAACTGGATGGTAGCTGATTTCTGAGTACCAAATTAATGTTGTGGGTCTATTATGAGTGAACATGTGAGGGCCACTGCTAGTGTACTGTATATTAAATTAGAAAGCAGAGAAATGGGCTCAGACTCAAGTAAGTATATTGGAAAGAGTGAGTTAATAGGATGGCACCAGATATTATGAGCAAGACCTAACCCAAAGCAAGTGTTTTCCAGTTACCTCAGTAGTATAAATCAAAGTCACCTCAATGTGTTTAATTTTGGCCAGAACATGCAATTTATCCCCATTTATTTAGATTTCCTTCTAAATAAATAATGTGTTTTGGGTTGATCACTGTCTTTGTCATAATGGATGTGTGTGCCCCAGGGTCCAGATACAAGGGGAGGGAACAATTTAACTGTGGTCCGTGGTTCAGATGAAGCCTCGCCTGAACAACAACACCATTACTATATGGGGTGGGAGAAAACTTGAGACTTGTTTGCAGATTCCGGTGGAAGATATTTATGCAAGTTGATTTCCTCTACCATAGAATGATTCTGTTGCCACAGGGTGTCAGTTTTTTAATATATATTTAATCTGCTGTGCAGCATAAGAATAAGCAATGGTTGCAAGCTTGGGTGCTGCTCTAGAAGGAAAACGGTCAAAATTCACTGCCTACTTGTGTGAAACATGAGGATGGGAAGACAAACATGCTAGCTGTCCCCTCCCCCCACCTTTTGCCATTATTTTTATCACTCTCAAGATACGGAAGATGGCCATCTACTGGAGAGGGCCTCTTTTGTCCACAGCAGTAGTAGAACCACTAAAATGGCTGCTGGCATTTTTCAGTGTCGCTTTCTGAGTGTACTAAATGGATCAAGGCACACAAAAGTAAGATTTAAAATGTTTTAAAGGGGGATTTAATAGCCAGAAGTTTGCACTCTCCCAGTTATCATCAGACTTGTTCATTTTGTTCTGTCCTTTTGGTAAATGGACTGTCCGACGTATTGTAGCTGCCTTCTTTGTTCCATTCTTCCAACACAGGGAGAGAAAGAAGGCTGATGTGGGATCCTCATACTGTTTATTTCAGATCTTTGTAGGATTGTGTACTATGGATTATTTATGGCACAATTTGACAGTATGTTACTATACTTGGGAAAGGGTCGTAGATGTTTATATTGCTAATATTAAGTATTTCCTAGGTAGTAAAATGTGTATGTGTGATTTTGGTTTGTTGTACAGTTTGCACCAACTTTTGAGATAAGTTTTGACAGTGATAAAAGATTTGTTTAAATTTGTCCCACTACTGGATGGATGCAGAAGCCTGGAGTCATTTGCTTTTGTCCATTTAACTCATGATGACTCAGTACTTCCAAGTAGCTTTCTTATTTTGTAAACAGTAAATGGTGCTACTTAAAGTACTAGCCTGGTAAGTTAAAAAAAAAAGCACACCTCACAAATCCTGCCAAAAGAAGTGAGTTGCCCAATCTTTCAGTAAGCATCATCCTGATATTCTGATGCTACAGGAAATCAGAACGCCAGGTACCTTAAGAGTCCTTGGCTTGAAGAAATGTGTAGTGCCTTGAAAACTAGTGGCTTCACTCTGTTTCAAACTTCTACATTCTCTATTGGATGAGGAGGGTCACTTAATTTTTCTCAAGGGCTCATTGTATTCTACAAAATGTATTTTGTGAGAATGCTCTTAACTGTAGGTCAAATTCAGTTCTTAGAGAGACTATATCTCAACTGCTAGTATTTGGCGAGGGAAAGCTACAGTGGGCCCTTGACTTACAAATGGCCCTAGTTGCGAACATTTCGGGTTATGAACCTGATCTCATCGCAAGTAGTAGACCCTACTTGCGAACGTGGATTGAGTTACGAATGCAAAAGGCAGGGAGAAAGGGCGGGAAATTCAAATTTCCTGCCCTTCCTCCCTGCCTTTGGAGCTTTCAAAGGGCTTCCTCCGATGTCAGGGGAAAGC